AATCGATATTTTTATCGGTTTTGTTATCGATTTTGTTATAGGAAATTTTATCGATTTTGCTATCGATATTTTTGGAACTTATCGATATAATATTCGATATTTTTGGAACTTCTCGATATAATAATCGATATTTTCATCGATTTCGTTACCGACATTTTTATCGATTTTGTTATCGATTTAATAATCGACATTTGAAATGATTTTGTGACCGATATTTTTTTATCGATATTGTTATTGATATTTTTATCGATTTGTTATCGATATTTTTATCGATTTTGCTATCGATATTGTTATCGATTAGTTATCGATTTTGTTATCGATTTTGTTATCGATTTGGGTTTCGATTATTTATCGATTTTGTTACCAATATTTTTGTCGATTTTGTTAACGATATTTTTTGTCGAATTTGTTACCGATATTTTTGTCGATTTTAATCGATTTTCTAATCGATTTTGCTACCAATATTATTATCGATTTTGTTATCGAAATTTTTGTCGAATTTGTCATCGATTTTGTTATCGATATGTTTTTCGGTGTATATTGGTTATGAGACAATATAGATATGTAACGTAAGTTTCACTTCTCCAGTGTGGCCCAGGCGCACTTAATTTTTTTTTATATTCGTATCTAATTTTTTCCGTACAATTATTTTTTTTGTTATTTTTCTATAAAAATACCGTCCATGCTTTAAAGAAAACCATATAAACAGTTTCAAACTTTATACAAAATGGAGGAAAATTCGACAAATTTTCATCAAAATTTCAGTTTCTAATCTGAATCTTTAGAACATTTTTTAAAGCCCATGAAGTTTTAGTCTAATAAGTGCAAGTTTCAACCGCCTACAAAATCGCGTTGATTTTTGAATTTTTTATTTTTTTTGGTGACGGATTTTTATGCATTTTTCCATACAAGCATGAATTTCTTATGAAATAAAATGCGGGAGACCGTAAGCAACAAAATTTCAAAAAATCAACGCCAGCTTTAGTAAATTGCACTTGTTAATAAAAAAAAAACACCGCAAAAGCAAGTTCCAAACAAAAATTGTCAAAAATCAACGCTATTTTTTATGCAGTTGAAGGGTGCACTTCATTCATTCATTCATTGGACTAAAATAGTATGGGCCATAAAACTGCATACCCAAAAATGTTCTAAAGATTCAGATCAAAAAGTTCAAATTTTGATGAAAATTTTTAAAATTTTCCTACATTTTTTACTATGTTCGAAACTGTGAGTGCTGTTTATTCAAACGAACTTTGCTTCAAAAAGGCCCAAACGGAGAAAAAAGGCCCATATTTGGTACAATTGCACCAAAGTGGCAACCGTGTTTGTATACATATGTATGTTTTCACACATATGTAAGTATGTGACTTGGAGCATTTGCACGGAGAGCAGCATTGCGCTTGTGGTTGTAGCACTTGCAATTACTGACCAGCAGCTGGTTGGCATGCTGATGCCGCTGGTTGGCATACTGATGCCGCTGGTTGGCATACTGATGCCGCATCAACGCATACGCACCTAACTATCAACACAGTTTGGTACATTTTCCGCTGCCATACGCACCCACTTCACTTTACTCACTGCTAGCTATTGTTCAATCCCTGCCAGACTGGGTTGTTGTTAGACTTACATGTGTACATACATATGTACCTACATTAGGGTGGCTCTTAAAAAATATCAAATTATGTATGTATTATGTATAGGACGTTCCTGCATTTTGTTCTATATACAAAATAAACACCTTCACGAAAACTTGAACTAATTTTTAAGGGTTGCCATCTGATAAATTTTACATATACTGGAAACATATTCATATAAATTAATAGTCACTCAGTCAAATTCAAAATTTTGTCGAATTTACCAATAAAAATAAAGATATTTTTCAAACATTAAAATGTTTTCGTGGTCTTATTTATTTTGCACGTATGACAAAAAGTAAAGGGATGCCCTACGGAGTTGATATTTTGTAAGGGCCACCCCAATGTGCAT